TTAGACGGGTGGTTCTATTTGTTATTACCTGGAGTTGTCGTGCGTTAGACGGGTGGTTCTATTTGTTATTAGCTGGAGTTGCTGTGCGTTAGACGGGTGGTTCTATTTGTTATTAGCTGGAGTTGCTGTGCGTTAGACTGGTGGTTCTATTTTACGGGTGAAACAAAAACACGTTAGTAACAAAGGATAGGAAATTGTGTACTTTTTTTTCTTAACATAATAAACATTATAAGTGTATAAAAATACATAAAGGTACCAATACCGAAAAGAAAGACGTACTGTTTCCAAGAATCCCCCCTTATAACCTTCCGTATAAGAATACATAAAGGTACCAATACTGAAAAGAAATACCTACTGTTTCCAAGAATCCCCCCCTTATGACCTTCTTCATTACATCCTGTATCACTGTGTCAAGTTGTCCCGACTTGATAGTTTTTCCGAAATTAGATATGAAATTAGATGGGAGTACAACCCCCCCCCCCTTGATCTTCCTCGTGTCATCGTGTATCACTGTGTCAAGTTTGGTGCTGATTGATCAAGAACTGTGGAAACGTATAAGGAACAGATACACAGACATATTGACGTTTATTTATATAGATAGTTGTAAACAAGTATTAATAATTGTGCTACTGAGAACGTAATGTGTTCCAGATACACTGACCTAAGTGAACATTTAAAACATGGGCTTGCTTAAATGTTTAAACTTTAAAAGTTGTTTAATGTAGTAAGAAGGTTTACTTAATTTGATCATCTGAAGTTTGGGATCAGTATTCATGAGTTCTATGCATGCTATATGAGTCTAGGAACAATATTAACATTGCCAAACCGTCACCCACTTAGTGTAAAGAAAGCAAAAGTTAGTTGTTTCATGTTATTTATCTTCCCTTAAAGTGTTTGTCCTTTGGCTAGAATAAGGAGTGATTACAGTCTTTGCTTTGAGGGGCAGAACCTAAACCTTCTTGTCTGTGTGGGTGTTTTTAACCACGTTTCTTTCACCATACTGTTGTACGTGTAATTTCTATAAATGCTTTAGAAGTGTTTACTCCACTCTGAGTAAAATATGACGTAAAGTTCATAGAACGTCAGTGGGTGTGAATATGAACCTCATTGGAACGTTGGTTACAAAAATAATATCGTGTTGTCACGTTTTTCAAACGGCTGTTCCGTTTCTTAATAATTCGAAAAATCTCTAATCAGTTTAATAATAGCCAATCGTCTCGGTCATCCATGTTGAAATTAGAGTAGAACCGACGATCTTTATTGTGAGGATGGACTGCTGTCACTCGGTGTATAGACGATGATTAATTAGGTGTTATTTATTTGTTTCATGAAAATTAAAATGTTCAAAGCTGTGTGAATCTTTCGGTAGTGGCGTATAGGCGTATAATTAGTTTTTAGTTCTGATTTTTTGATAAATATTGGTCTAATTGTCTCCCGTAACTGTAGCGTATTAAGTTTATTGATTCCCCGTATATTCACAAAAAATATATTCTACTTTTATATATTCTAATTTTTTTATAAACGTTTAATTTTAGTATATTTTTTAATGTTATATATTACACTAAATTCACATGGAGTTCATCTTTTATCCACCAGAGGTTTCGGCACAAAAGAGACCCATGTGGCTGAACCCAGCACGAGCCCAGAGTGGAACAAGACTTTTATTTTTCCTTCAGTCTCTTCTGATGAGGTATTAAATTTATAGATTGTGAAGCATAAATCTATTTTTAAACATTTATAGTTAGAAAAATTTGCATTTTTGGTACTATAAGAACTTGAAATTTCAATAAGAAATCTGTGTTTTATTTATCCTTTGCATGAGAATTTTCATGCTACATTTATTTGGAGTTTAAGTACAAAGGACACATTTTCATTTGAAACATTAGGAAAATCGTATCGAGATATATTCTGAGTACAGTGTTGTTTGTAATATAATGTATAACTGTTACTATTGTTGGGCAGGTTCTTTTTCAGACACAATCCACTTAATGACAGCGAAAGTATTTTATTTCTTTGAATACAAATTTCACAAGTTAACTTAAGTTCGCAGTAAACGCTAATACAACCATTTCACTTACTAACTTCTCTGGTACGTATGACACGTTCTCTTATTTTCAAAACACAAGTTCGATATTTACAGAACTAAACAGACAGCCTGATTAACAAATTCGCTATTTCAATAATCAGTCATCTACTCTAGTATAAAAAGCATTTTATATTACACAAATCGTTTTCTGATTGTTCAAGGAGGTTTTAACTATGAAGCCACGCACATCTCATTAGTTCATACCTTCTTCTGGCCAAACAATAATACAAATATCTGAATCAAAAAACCAAACAGCTTACAACACCACCTCTCCCTGAATTGTGAAGAATTATATTACACAAAGAAACACAAAGTTACGTTAAAAGTTCACAGGGGGTGTTGAGTGTGTTTTATTAAACTATTTAAATATTTAAATAAACAAGTCACGTGAAAATCACAACCGCTATAAGGTTATGGTGAAATGGAATGTATCTGAACTACATTTTGACATTGTTTTATATTCTGTAGGTAATGTGATGCCACCGAAAATGTGTTGCTGTTGAGAAAGGTATTGACAGACCTTTCCCAAACAAAATATATATATACTTAATTCATAAAGATGACGACATCCTTTGTATTTAATGGCATTGGAAAACAAAGGAATGTTAATTAACTTGGGACCAGGACCATCCATAAAAACACCTGTAAAAAGTCATACCACAGATATGGTAAAGAAAGTGTGACATTTTGTAAGAGGTGAGGATTCACGAACACAAAGGTCAGTAGTAAATCCATCTACAGCCCCAGGCAACAGTACACAATATAATTAAGAAGGATCTCCATCGGGAAAAAGTCAAACATGCGCAAATTGCTTTCACGACGTAAATGTTCATAGCTCAAACAGCTGGAGAATGAAATTTGGATTCATGCTATTTTATACAAAGACAAACTACTGAAGTCCCCAGACATACACACACACATGAATGTCTGTGTGATTTAACCTTTCAAATGGGCACTGGGAAAGCGTCGTCCACATCCCCTAGATGGCTTAAAGAAAGCATGCAGAGAAGACATGGCAGCCTTACGACAGAGCCTTATGCAATGGAAACAACACTACAGGATTATTGTCAGGACACACGGTCGTGAGATAGGACATGAGAAGACATTGTATCAGGAACTATAAAGACATGATGAGGCTCCTCTATAAAGTTTTAATATAACGTGCTCAACCTATATAACGTTTTTATATAACCTGCTCAATCTATATAACGTGCTCAACCTATGTATGATTAACAATAACACCAATATTCCTAAACATGACCAAATAAAATATTCATTAACACACTTACTGCCCAGTCACCAAATCATTTAGTGTTTTCTTGTAATGATGTGAAATTAGAATGACCTTTTACCGTTTATCAACAGTTGTTATTTAAATCAACCAGGACACATACAACGTTATATTTGAACAATACTAAATAACATTCTAGTCAACAAATAAACACTCAACGTTATATAAGAACAATACTAAATAACAATCTCATCAACAAGGAAAACCCTCAATGTTATATTTGAACAATACTAAATAACATTCCTATCAACATGGAAACCCAGAACGTTATATTCGAACAATAATAAATGACATTCCCATTAACCATGAAACCCTCAATGTTATATTCGAACAATAATAAATGACATT